TTATAAGTTTGCCTAAAAACAAAGCGAAATCCTGATAAATCAAAAGAAACCGCACATTGGGGCGCGTGCCATTGATCCTTTGTCGGCTCTATTATAAAGAAAGCCGCTTTTTTATTTAAAAATGGGAAATAATAGTACGATAACTTTTTGCCGCCTTTCGATTTTTGACGCCCTTCGAATTTTGCCGCTATTCGATTTGTGCACCTCTTGAATTTTTGCCGCCCTTTAATTTTTGCCGCCCTTTAATTTTTGCCGCCCCGTGCTGGGGCACGGCTGCACGTACCCTGGAGCCGGCCCTGACTAGGTACGATTATATAGCAATTTTTCGAAAATTGCGAATTTTGGAAAAAAAACATCTCTTTTTTTAACACCCTGTAGTATAATGCTATGTGCACAATATTGTATTCCCAAAATTAGACATAAGAGTAAAAAAATCAACTATTGCCGATTTTTTGGACTAAAATGAAGAATAACGTGAATTTTCGTACAATCGTGGTTAGCCAAGATATCCATAAAATCTCAAAAATGTCCCGAGGGATTACCTAACTGTTATTAGGTAGGAGTATTAGGACTATCAAGCTCAACTGCCCTGTGAGTGGGGATTTGGAATTTAGGAAAAAAACATCTCTTTTTGCAACACTGCACAGAGTTTAACAGCGGCCATTTTTGTTGTTTACAATTCTTGTGCTTTGGGTTTGTGCTGTGTTGCAGTGATTTTTAGTATTTTTAGTACGAGATAGAACAGGCCCAGTGGCGTAGCGACAGTACCGCGAACGCCCGCCAAGCGGGGGGCCCTAACCTCGTAGGGGGCCCGGCCGATACTTGCCCCAAAACATTAAAATACTTATTTCCATCTTACTTATACTAAAAATTGAATAATAATGAATGATTAATTAAAAATATCATAATTTTCGCGGGGGGGCCCGAAATTTGTCGCTACGCCACTGAACAGGCCTTGTTGTGTGGATTGTGATAATAATAATAATTAATTTTATATACCTACTTTACTTTTTTTCAAATATTAAAAATAATTAATTTTAACATTATTATTTAATTAGAGATATTTGAATAAATTTGTAATAATGACATTTTTGTTAAAAAAAAAAAATTTAAATGCCTCGCACTTATACCGTTGCTAAACGTACAGACATGGTCCGTATTTCTCAGGAATATGCTTACAATGCTGCGGAAGCTGCACGCCAGTATCGACTACAATTTGAAGGTGTGCGTGATCGGTTTTTGAACTATGCTTCAATTCTCCGCGCGGTTCACGATTTTAATATGAATGGCAACGTTTTACAGGATGCAGCTGATCCGGGAACTATCGCTGGACAACTTGTGCGCAGTACTGTGACATCTATAACTTGAAGATTACGAGATGAGAAGAGTTTTACAATCGTATTCTGAATATGCACCGTGAAGACCCTAACTTTCTGAGGCATGTATTGTGGACTGACGAATTACCCTTCACTCGTGAGGGATGTTTTAATCCCCATAATGTGCATCAGTACGCGAATGAAAACACACATTTTGAAAGGTGCAAAGTTTCCAGCACAGGTGGGAAATTAATATGTGCGGCGGTATTATCGGAGACACCGTTCTTTTATATCAGTTACCAAAAACGCAAATTAAAAAAATGATCAATTTATCTTTTCATGAGTTGAACATACAATTTTTTGATTATTTATTAGGGAAACTCGTACTTGGCTTCACCAGGGCCGGGCCTAAGGGGGGTGTAGGGGGGGGAGTCACCCCCCCCCAAAGTCTTGGCAGTTGGTTCCAAATCCAAACACGGTTGGCAAAATCTTTAGTATTTGGGTCGGTTGGTTGGGTACCAACACAATAAATAAAATTAAATATAATTTTTAAACTATACCTACATATTACAAAATTATAATTTTTAATCTATTTAATAACCTCCTATAATCGTTACCGTCAAGAAAATTGTATTGGTCAACCCTATTTTTATTAAAGGACATTATATTCGGTCGGCACCGCCTCGCGGCTTTGTCTTTGGCTTTGGCGGCGTTTGACTCTTTTTACGCACCGCAATTTTCGGCGTCTTATTTTTCTAGATTATTATTTAGTTAAAGCTTATCTATAGATAAGCTTATAAGCTAAGTAAAACTAGTGTCAATAAATAGGAATTGTTTTTTTTTAATGTGGAAAAGAAAGCTAGACCGGGCCGAGTTCTAGTAAAATGCTCATTATGTTGATCTGTGTTTAACAAGGACTAGAAAAAAATGCATGAAAAAAATATTCACGGTGGAAATTTGGTTAAAATTAAAATTGTTGCTGTTCCGGATAATCCATTTACATTGGCAGCAAGTCAAAAAAATAGAGAACGAGAATCAATTCCATCGACTTCGAAAGAGCATGCTTATGGTAGGTAAAGACATTCTTTATCTACACTTTACAGCACTTTACATACATGATAAAACTACTGAATTTTTTTACTATTACTAGGTACTAAAGTATCGATAAAAAAATAAGTTGTTTTTTTTTATCATCTCCACCCCCCCAAAAAAGTGTGCCTCGGTACTGCCCTGGGCTTCACTGTATCTGTGCTCAGTGTGGTTCTGCTCTCAGTTTTAATAATACTTAACATACCAAAACTCCTCTCCATAAACACATTGAAAAATGGCAAAACTAATAAAAAATTAATAACAATTTCTGAATTTACATAAATAGGCAAACCAGCGGCATTGCGAAACTCCAGGACGTGTTTTCAGTATTTCTCTGCTGGTTTTGTGGAGTCTATTCCCATTTTCTTAAAATCCATCTTTTTTAAAATTGAAACTTTTTTAAGAGTCTTTATTTGAGATATCATCTTATGGGATTTTTTTTTTGTATAATCAATACAACCCAAAAATCTCCATTTACAACGACATCTGTTTCGTTCAGTGAATCACATAGGTACTTCCACTTCCTACTTTGGAAGTATGTAAACATTGAAAATAAAGTGTTTTGAAATTTTCGATTCTTTTCTCTATCCGCTCCTTTTCTCCTGTCCTTGACTTTTGAGACACCCTGTATAATATATTCAGGGCCGGATTTAGGCATGGGCCACATGGGCCCGGGCCCAGGGCGGCAAACTTTTAGGGGCGGCAAATTTTGAAGGCCAGTTAAAATTTTGCTAAAAAATCAAGAGTGTTTTATGCAGAATTTTTGTTTTCACTCAGATTTATACACTAATTAAAACTATAAAAAGTTGGAAGAGAAGTTTTTTAATACATTATAACTGCCGCCCTTCTACGCAGTGACGCACTACGCAGAATAATAGTGTAGTGCGTCACTGCGTAGAAGGGCGGCAGTCGATGTAGACGAGGCGAGTGGGGCACGACTCTAGCTTATTCGCTGAGTCATTCGTTATTCGGGGTAATGATGCGTTGGGCCCATGGGCGGCAAATTCGTAAATCCGGCCCTGAATATATTATATAATATAAAAAATTAGGTAAATGTTAATTTTAAATTAATTATATTTATTTTACCCGTTTATACATAAAACTCGCTATTTTTGGGTTCTCAAAATATAGTACTTTTTAAGTAAACTAAATTTAGTATTTGAAAATAAACTCTTGCCCTGACTCATAGGGCATCGCCCCAAATTTTATTTTTCGAGTTACGTTATTGGGTATTTTGGTTCCATTTTCCCGTTTTCATATAATTTTACACAAAAAGGTTTTTCTGTTTGAAAGGTCTAAATCCAACCGTTTTTGGAAAAAAAAGGCTTTAAAATTTTTTTTGTGTGCGTTGTAAAGTTAAGTGCCATCTTCAAGGGGGAATTTTTGACCCCATGTTCTGTTGTGCCTACTTCAGTTCAGTCTGTAAGAGAGTGTACACGCGATTTAAGGTACCCCATAGGAAAAAATTCCGAGTTATCAAATGAGGTGATCTTAGTGGCCACTAAATAAATTAATACTCGTCATGCGAATTTAAGAAATGCAATAACCATGGTTATTCCATTTCTTACTGCAGTAAAAATTTAGGTTTGATAATATATCCATTTGCATTTTACAAAAAATACACTGTTAACCTAGTTAACTGCTAGCTGTTAACTGTTTGGCCAGCCAAGGTTAACAGTGTATTTTTTGTAAAATGCAAATGGATATATTATCAAACCTAAATTTTTACTGCAGTAAGAAATAGAATAACCATGGTTATTGCATTTCTTAAATTCGCATGACGATTATTAATTTATTTTCAACAAAATTATTATAAAAAAGAAATCAGAACATACATCAACATTGAGAGCAAATACTGTCCATTCAGGCTAAGTTGAGCGGTCTAAGGAATGTCACCCCATCCATCATCACTATGTTCTTTAGGGAGGTATTAAGAAACTTTAACTGTAAAGTATTCATGCTGCAGCACCTTGAATTTTCTAAATTGAATTCCTATTTGTACAAAAATTCAAAGACTATGAATGTAAAAACGTATATGTAAGATAGAATGAATAATAATTATCAGCACGAGATTTGAACATACATTAACATTGACTGCAAATACTTCTAAGAGGTATTGTATTGTATTATAAACTTAACCTGTTAAGAAGTATTTACTAAATACTATTTATCACCTTAAATTACCTATATCAGACTTCTATTCACCACAAAATATATTCAATGAATATGAAGGTAAAAACGTCCACAAAGTATAAGAGCACAAAAGTATTCGGACACACAAGCTGCGAATATCAATGGTCAAATCTTGAATAGAACCATATTCAGGTCCATAAAACTTGCCTGCCTATGCCCCTGTTGGTAGCAAAAATTGTTAAAAACAATTTATATTTATACAACTTAAGTAAATACCTACATAATATGTAACATGTTTTTTTATATTATTTTTTCTTTGAATAGGTAACTTTTTTTAAGACCACAATATAAGTCTTGTTGGAATAAGAAAATTAAAATAAAAACGTTTATTTAGCAGAATAGGTACCGAATAGGTACCTAATAGGTAGGTAGGTAACTAGTTACTAATACAAGATTACTTACATTTTCCGGAGTATTATCGGAATAGATAAGATATCGACTAGTTAAAGACAACCACCGTTTCTTGTAGTTCACTGAAGTATAGGGTTTTTTATTCTGTGATCTTTTAACCATAAAACCTTGTTTAATTATATCAGTTTGAACCGAGTGCATTTCAGTAATCCACGATAGCCCCACTGAAAAAAACAATACACTCACGCCTATTTAAGGTTATGTTAAATTGTCAATATTAATAACAATAGTCTGTGAATCCCAAGGTCATTCTTATCACCACAACACTTTGCTTAATCGAACGAGGATGGGTCAACTTGAGATTTTCAAGTTGTTATCTATGAACGAAACAATCACAGAACATAATAGACGGTCTATTATAGACCACGCGTGAGACGAGTTGTTTTTTGTTTTTGTTTCATTCAGGTTAAAGAAAGGCATTCGACTATTCGTATTTGGAAGCACTAAATTCCAAGAAACGCTTTAATAGCTTCTTGGTACTTATAACCCTTTTAACATAATGCACTGACAGATAATGTATGCAACACATGTTTTTATAAAGTTCTTTAAACCGATTAAACATTTTTTAATCTTTGATAACTTTTTATAAGCTTATAGGTATTGAAATACAAAATTTTTTAAATTAGGCCATGTACTACACTAGGTACTACACCTTATATTCAGGAACAGGTAAAATCAATTGATTAGGATCAAAACATTTCAAATAACAAATGAAACATTCGTGCAAAACATTTGAATTTGGCAGAAGCAATTTTTGACTTGGCAACTCTGTTTTATAAAGCAACAAGTAAAAAATTTAAGACAATTTCAATTTCTATTGAAAAATATAATATATTATATATAGTATAGTATATTATATATTATAATGAGAATCGTTTAAAAATACAATAATATTTAAAAATAAAAAAATGTGTACTGTCAATTGTCAACTATATAATCGCGCAACGTTGTAAATTATAACCTAAAAAATACATGCGATTTAAAAAGTGTGGATTTATGGTTTAACAAAATAATTTATTTTAAGTTTGTTTATACGGTAAGAATATTACTAGCATGTCTCTTAATGGTTCGACCCCAATGTCTGCTTTTGAAATGTATAAACAAAGGCATGTAGAAAATTTGAACGTAAAGAAAAAAAAACGTAAAACGAAACCCAAAGAAGTTACTGTGACTTCGATAAAGAAGCAAAAACTACCAGAATGCAAAGAATATGTGGAGGAGGAAGAGGAAATTCCACAATTAGTAGAAGTTAAGTCAGAGAAGCATAAAATAACGGAACAAATTAAAACACAATTTATTGTGCCAAGGCCACCTAAAGTAAATCAAGTGAAGAAAATTGATATTAAACAAAAAGCACCAATTAACCAAGATAATAAAGTCATTAGGGAAAGTGATAATGTAAATAAAAAGAGAAAGAAAAAAATTAAACTTAAAGTTAAGGTTAATGGCCATTCAAAAACAAATTCGGAAAGGGATTCTGATAATTCAGTAAGCGAGTGTGCAAAATTATTTAGATGGTTTATAAATCCAATACCACCAGATGTATTTTTTAGTGAATTTTGGGAAAAAGAACCCATTCACATTGAAAGAGATACCCCTAACTATTATTCTCATATTCTTACCACTGAAAGGTTAGATAGAATACTAAGAGACAATCCTTTATATTATACACGTAATGTAGATGTTGTATCATATGAAAATGGCAAAAAGGAAAATTTTAACCAGGAAGGCAGAGCTGTAGCAGCTGCTTTATGGGACTACTACTCCAATGGGTGTAGCATTAGGGTATTGAATCCACAAACTTATGACCAAAAGGTACATGTTTTGATATCCACTTTGCAAGAATATTTTGGGACAATGGTAGGAACAAATATATACTTAACTCCACCAGGAAGTCAAGGTTTTGCTCCTCATTATGATGATATTGAAGCTTTTGTTGTTCAGTTGGAAGGTAGAAAACACTGGAAATTATATAGGCCAAAGTAAGAATCTTCATTATAAATTATGATAGAATGTGACATCTTTGCAATTTTAATTAATTCAATTTCAAGCTTTTTACAAATAGTTTAACTTTGTTTTATTTGATTTTAAATATTTTTATTCATAACAATGTATAATTTAAAAATATAGAAGGTACTTCTAGTTTAGAATGGGGGTTTAGAATTTAGTTGCAAGGTGTAGTACATATTGTTTTAATTTATTATTAAACTTCAATACTTACAATATAATAGTTGTTTATGTCATGAAGCTGAGAATTGAGTCTTTTTGTGCTGGGATCAAAGTTTGAATTGAGCAAAGTACAAAAAGATACTTCTTAGCCAAATCGCATACATTTTTCTTCAAGGCACAGTTTTATTTGTTAAACAATACATAAAACAAACAATTATTAAAAGTATAAAGTAAGGTTTACAGACTGGGATGTAAAAAACATCACCTGATTGGTCTAAATTAATTTTACAGCCTAGGAGATAATTGAATACTTTGTTAGTAAGCGTTGACATTGTCACTTGACAATAATAAAGCTTAAGTAATAGAACGCTTGATGATAACTAAAATTACATAAAATGTTTTAGCTCAAAACAATTCGTCGGAAATTTGTTTTTTTATACCTAAAATAACCCATACATTTAGCGCGGCCTGAGCTACTTATAAATCCTTGAAAAGTTTTGTTCAATATAAAAAATATAATTAAGTACTAATGGTTAGTACACCCATATTTTATCCAGGAGGCTCGGGTTCGTTTCCCGTTATTGGGATACTTTTTTTTCTCAAATACTCCATTTCAAAAAATAGTACATTATAGACCAGGCGGAGGAAGCACATATTATCCCCGAGCGTACCTTTCACAGTAAATTGTGTGCGAGGAAATAAATAAGCTTTTGCCGCCGTGTTTAACTACGGTTTCGCGAAAGGATCGAACGGTCGATTTGCAAGGGTTCAAGAAATCGATTGAAACTGCTTTACCTTATTTCTACATCTAAATGCAGTACTTTAAAAAAAAAATCTCGTCCATTAACAACTTTGTTTTTATTTTTATTTTATTTTTCACTGTGTTTATTTTTTTTAATAATTTTTTTTTTTCAAAACGTATCAATTTGAAATTTGGAAAAAATGTATTTCTTACTAATGACAATTAATCCATGAAAAAATTTTGTTAGATTTTAACGTACGCTGGTGATACTTTGATTTAAAATTTAACAATTTTTAAAGGGTAAATAATCAAAGAAGCAACTTTTTTTTATAAATTTGAGTATAACACGTTAAAATATTGATATTTGACTATTATTTTATATGTTAACTTTTTTATGCAAATGATGTATCTGTGGCCAGGATCAGTTTTGAATTAGCAGTAGCATTATTCATAAATGTTTAGTACATTTTGTCATTTTTATACAAATATTGTTGTACCTATCTTTTATTAATAATTAAGTATAGCATAACACATAAATGACGTTTAATATACAGGGTGTTTCACGTTCGTAGTCCGTTAGAAATTTCTAGGGAATCGCGAAAGACATCGATTTAAAATTTTAATAGCGTAAATTATTCAATTTAGACTTCTTTCCTAAATTATTTTGAACAAAATAATACTTCCTGTTTTACCGGAAATGTTTTTAACATTGTTATTTTAAAGGACACCTCATAAAATTCTGAGTAAAATGGCTCACGTTGGTACATTTGGCGTTTTCAACTTAAAAAATATATAATCTTCCAAACGTTTTTTTTTTAAGTAGTGATAATATTAGCTTTACTTTGCAAGAAAAATTAAAATCGCGTATGTAGCCGTTGTGAAGATATACACTTAAATGTATTTTTTATAAATTAATTTGCAATAGTAAGCTTAGTCTCTGTGTATCACCTCTTGTGTTGAGGTTTTTTGGACATTTTTCTATTTCAATGGCTTCACTGATGGTACATTTGGTTCTGTATTCGATGCTAGCCAAGACCCTTGTTTTTTTAAGTCAATTTTCCAATATAGCCAACTTATTCATGGAAGACATAGTAGTATGAGCAATTGAAACGGCAACACTAAAATCAAAGTTATGGCTACGATACGTAGAAGACACATTTGTCATCTGGACCCACGGAGAAGAGGAACTGAAGAAATTCCTGGACCATCTCAACAGAATTCCAAAATGGTTAAGTTCACAATGGAAACCGAGAAAAAACACCAATTACATTTTCTGGATGTCTTCATAATCAAGAAAAATAATGGCAAACTTGGGCAGAAGCACAGTCACACCACCACCCGTCACAACTGCAGTCAGTCATTAAGACACTTGTCACGAGATCCGAAAGGCTGGCGGATGATGACCACAAGAAACAAGAAGACCTGAAAATCCAAAGGAGGCTACAGCAAAACGTATTCTCCAAAACCATCATCAAAAAGGCTCTTGGACCACGACGCCGGTTAAATACCAAAGAGGCCTAATACAACAAACCAACTTCGTAGACCTTCCTTCCCTACGTGAAAGGGACAACCGAGAGAGTAGGCAAAGTTCTCAAAAAACATAACATTTAGACAACATTTACCGCCCCAAAAAAGATCGGTCAAATACTTCCAAACGCCAAACCAAAAATAGAGTTGGAGGCACAAGGGGTGTACGAAATTCCTTGTAAGAATTGTGACGGAAGCTACGTGGGACAGACCAATAGACGTATCAACGTTAAACTCGAAGAACATCGTAACGCAGTCTTGGCTAGCATCGAACACAGGGCCAAGAAACCTCAACACAAGAGACGATACACAGATACTACCAACTGCATAAAAACCAGCTCTCACAACCACTAAAACGCCACGCAAATTAACGAGATTAATGTTCTGCTTTAGGTTTTCACGGGCGTTATATGTATTGATGGTTTTCCGGGATCTGCTCTGTGTTGTCGGTTTTTGTTTCTTAAAAGAACCGTATATCTGATGACGTTTCGGTACATTCTCATGTACCCTCTTTAGGTCTTATTTACTAGGCTGCTGTTGCGGCTCTGCTGCTTTAGGTTTCCACTGGCGTTATATGTATGAATTCGCAGCAGAGCAGCAACAGCAGCCCAGCACATAAGACCTGAAGATGGTACATAAGATTGTACCGAAACGTCGTCCGACATACGGTTCATTTAAGAACCAAAAACTGACAACACGGAGCAGATCCCGGAAAACCATCAATATTTATATATAGGTATATATATACAGTGTGTCCCGCTTAAGACCTTACCACCCTTGTAAAATTTGCATTTTTCAACCGATTTTCGTAAACTTTTTTTTGTTGGATAGATCTCTGAAAAAGGCTTTAATTACATATGTCACTTGTTTTGACGACTAAACTCATGGCAAACTATGATCTCTTTTTGGGGTCGAAATTTCGAAAAGTACTATTAGGGATTTTTTTAGAGAAAAAGTGACCACGGATTATTGTTCGGGGCCACTTATAACCCCACTATATCAATTTTTACCGTTCTTAAACACAGGGTGTTCCAGATGGACGTTTTTTAATTTTTTGATAAAAACCTCGTAAAATTTGAATTTTTCAACTGATTTTCTTAAACTTTTTTTGTTAAAAAAGGCTTATTCGGAACCACTTAAAACCCCACTACACCAATTTTTATCGCTTTTAGATACAGGGTGTTCCACCTGGACATGTTTTAATTTTTTGATAAAACCCTCGTAAAATTTGCATTTTTCAACGGATTTTCTTTAACTTTTTTTGTTGAAAAAGGCTTATTCGGGACCACATAAAACCCCACTCTACAAATTTTTATCGCTTTAAATGCAAATTTTACGAGGGTTTTATCAAAAAATTAAAACATGTCCAGCTTGAACAACCTGTATCTAAAAGCGATAAAAATTGGTGTAGTGGGGTTTTAAGTGGTCCCGAATAATCCTTTTTCAACAAAAAAAGTTTAAGAAAATCGCAAAATACAAATTTTACGAGGTTTTTATCAAAAAATTAAAAAACATCCATCTGGAACACCCTGTATTTAAGAACGATAAAAATTGGTATAGTGGGGTTATAAGTGGTCCCGAACAATAATCCGTAGTCACTTTTTCTCTGAAAAAATCCCTAATAGTACTTTTCGAAATTTCGACCCCAAAAAGAAATCACAGTTGGCCATGATTTTAGTGGTCAAAACAAGTAACATATGTGATTAAAGCCTTTTTCAGAGATCTATCCAACAAAAAAAAGTTTACGAAGATCGGTTAAAAAATGCAAATTTTACGAGGGTGGTAAGGTCTTAAGCGGGACACAGTGTGTCGACACACTGTATATATTTATATATAGATAGATATATATATATATATACAATGTATATTATACATATATTATACATATATAGCGAATTGCTGTGGTATTTTTCACTAGAACACATGTTAAGCTTACTGTTGCGCATTAATTTATAAAAAAAAATACATTTAAGTGTATATCTCCACAACGGCTACATAAGCGATTTTAATTTTTCTTGCAAAGTAAAGCTAATAATATCACTATTTAAAAAAAAAATGTTTGGAAGATTATATATTTTTTAAGTTGAAAACGCCAAATGTACCAACGTGGGCTATACTATACCATATCTAAAGTCAATATTTTTCGAGTTATTAATTTTTCAATCAAATATTTTAATTAATTTTAAACAATAACAGATTAAGTGGTAACCATGGATACTATCACATTAACCCACATGTAGAATTTCACAGGTTTGTTGATACAAAATAGAGTCATTCCATAAAATTTCACCTAATGACAAAAGCTAGACATCTCAGATTTTACTACAAGTTTTAGGGTTTGAACATAGATTAATAACCACTGCTTGGGATGAACTAAAATCACAATAATATTTTTTTATTTAAACACCCTAAGAAATTAGGCAAGGCCATGTTGACCGGTTTTCATAAAATATTATCAAATCGGTTTCTAAGATATCCTTTTATAACTTTATTATAACTTGTTAATTAATATTTTCAAACTATATAACAATGTTTTAGTTTTAT